TAGGAGGATATAATTTGTAAGCATTAATCAGAATGTTACAAAAATTACAGTCCTAGTAAAATACAAGGCCAGTTAAATTTCCTGTGGCATTTGTGCCCGGTATCACAATGCTGACCCTTTGCAGACTTAGACCATGGGTCTTGGGCTTCCTTCTTTAAGAAAGAATGATTGAAGCTAGAGTGGAAATTAATGGGAAGAAAGAGGTTCAGGAATCAAAATGCAGCAACAATAAAATAATTACCTATAAGTAATAAATGGGTTGATGTTGGATAGGAGAGATACACGATGCTATGAGGACATATAAAAAGGAAGTAGACCAAGTTGGAGGGGTTAGAGAAGGAATGTTTGAGGAAGTAAATCTTGAGCAAAGATCTAAAGGATGAGTAAAACCTAATCAGGCTAAGAAGGACGGGTGGAGGAAATAGCATGTGCAAAGACTCTGATCTGATCAATAGGCGAAACTAAAACAGGGCTAATGTGGCTGGAGCAGAAAGGAGGTGAAAGGGGCAGGTGGAGGGTGAGGTCAAGACAAGGTGTTCAGGAAGTGCGTGTTTTCCCAAGGCCAAAGTGGGGAGACTTTGGAAGGAAGTTTAGTTGTGTTGAAGGATGGTGATTCCCTCTCTCTCTATATATGGTAACATATTTAATGCTACATGAAAGGCACTGTTCTAAGAGCGTTATGTTTTTTAACTCATTTAATAAGGCTGACTTATACAAAGGGGGACCCAAAAAACCCTGGAATTTATTTATAAAAAATTGTGTGTGTATTCTTACATGTTTAACTTCAGTCACCTGCAAAGTACTCTCCGTTTGATGCATTACACCTATTGAGATGCTTTTTTCACTGCTCAAAACAGTTTTTGAACTTGTCAGTTTTGATGCCTTTTAGTGCTTCTTCCATTTTTTTGTTTTGCCTCTTCCACATTGGCAAAATGTTTTTCTTTGAGGATTTTTTCATGGGGAAACTAACTAAAAAAGTCACTTGGGGCAAGATCTGGTGAATTGGGAGGGTGGGGCATGGGGGTCATTGCTGTTTTTGGTCAAAAATTGCTGGATACTCAGCGCAGTGTGGGTATGTGTGTGTCATGGTGAAAGAATGAATGATCTGTTAGCCACAGCTTGGGACGTTTCTTCTGCAATTCATAATGCAACCTTCTCAAACTTCCAGATAAAAACTGGTTGTTTGATTCAGTGGAACAGATTCCAATACTACAAGGGGTCTGTCCTGCAAAAAGATAATTCCGGGTTTTTGGGGGGGTCCACTCCTATTTCCAGAAAGGCACTGACTGGCTGCATGTTGGAGGGTGGATGGGAGCTGGGGATGGGGTGGAAGAGTTTATTCAAATTATTGCCCTTTCATTTAAATAGAGACAACAGATTGTTTGAATAAAAAGACCTGAACTTGCTAGCTTTAGAGTTTTGAAGCAATACATACATTTTCTTCTAGAGCCATATAGAAAACACTTAACATTGAGGAATTTGTAGTTTTAAAGGTTTGAACTTTGGTAGTGTAAGTTTTATTTTTTTGTTGTTACCACCAGAATTTAAGGTAATTATTAACTTTCAGCTGATGAACCTTGTTAAAAACAGGTCCTTTGCTTCTGATAATACAGGTTGAGCATCCCAATCTGAAACTTCGACATGGCACTCAAAGGAAATACTCTTTCAAGCACTTTGGATTTTGGATTTTCAGATTTGGGATGTTCAACCGGGTATGTATATGCAAATATTCTAAAATCCAAAAAAATCCAGAGCTTGAAACACTTCTGTCTCAAGCATTTTGGGTAAAAGATACTCAGCCTCATCTAAGAAATAATATAAATCCTTTTACTTTTACATGTAAATGTTTCCTTAGAGTTTTCAAATTAAATTTAAATTTAAATCTAAACAAACAAATCTTTTATGTTTTAACATTTGCAGAAGTTTTCTACAATATCTTAGTACATCATAACAAATAGATGCTTGAAGGTTAATGATTATATAGTACTGTATAGTTGTTTTTGCATAATGAAAACATGTATGGGATTTTAATCCATGCATGGATTTTATGTATGATTTGAGGCAAGTTATATCATCTCTGTAAACATGTCTCCTTTTTTTCCCTTCTAATTCCATGACAGATTATAATTTTTCTCATTTTTATTTTATTTTTATTCTTGTAGAGATGGGATCTCACTAGATTTCACAGACTGGTTTCAAACTCCTGGCCTCAAGTGAGCCTCCCACCTCACCTCGGCCTCCCAAAGTGCTGGGATTATAGGCATGAGCCACTGCGCCTGGCCAAATTTCTTTATTTTTAGAAATGAGATTAAATAATAACCTGTTTCTCAAATGCTGAATGAGAAAAGTCCATACAAAAGCACCTAATACTTTGAGAAATCATTTGCTCTTGAATATTAGTTTCTGTCTCTTTCCCCAAGAATAGGAGATAGGAATAAATGTGAAGTGATCCCAGAATGCTCATTGTAACTAAATCCTTCATGTGGGTTTAGAGCTCACAAGGCTTCTTGAATTTAAATCCCAGCACAAATCCTATTCTGGTTTGGAATTCTCACTCAACAATAAGACCTTGAGCGATTTTCTTTTGCTTTTCTTAGTTTCCTCAACTATGAAATGACAATAAATAATATCTACCTCATGGGGTTGCTTTGAATATTGAGTGAGTTAATAAACAATGCTTTTAGGACAGTGCCTTTCATATAGTATTAAATATATTTTGCTATTATTTGTTGCTTAAGTATACCTTGAGATTTCCTCAGCTCTGCAAGTTTGGGTCACCCTGCTTCCAAAAAAAAAATCTAGTGGATTTAGGACTCTAGTTAGATTTTGTTTAGTCAGAATTTTCTTTAGATTTGTTTGTAATGGCGGGGCTCGGTGACTCAGCTTGTAATCCTAGCACTTTGGGAGGCCGAGGCGAGTGGATTGCCTGAGTCCGCGGGTTCAAGACCAGCCTGGACAACTTGGTGAGACCTCGTCTCTACAATAAAAAAATTTTAAAAAGTTAGCCTGGTGTGGTAGTGTGCACCTATAGTCCTGGCTACTTGGAAGGCTGAGGCAGATGGATCGCCGGAGCCTAGCAGGTCGTGGCTGTGGTGGCCATGAGTGTGCCACTGCACTCCAGCCTGGGCAATGGAGTAAGACTCCAACTCAAAAAAAAAAAAAAAAAAAAAGAAAAGAAAAAGATTTGTTTGTAACTGCCTAATATTTACCTGTGCATTTAGTTTCTGTGACCTTTCCCCAGCTAATGTATTTGAACATATTTTAACTGAGAAAGATCTTTTGTTGAAACTATAATTTATTAGATATTTATTTATTTAAAAGTGGCTAGTGTGCAGATTTGTGTTGTTATTTTTCTGCTGCTTAGCTCAGTGTAAATCTATTACCTACATATGTGAAAGCGGTTTTGGGGCATTTGTATATTGCTGCTTCCATTTTTGTCTTTCTAGCCAAGTTTATCGACTCCTTATGGTCGCCAGGCTGAGACCTGCCCATAACACAAATTGTCTGGTAATAGAAAGTTGATATTTGAGTTGATTCTCTTTTGGGGGTGGGGGGTGGGCATGAACATATACTAATTTGCATTGCAGGTGTAAACTTAACTGTTTAATAATAAGGTATGTCTTGGCAATTTGGTAAAGTGGTGTGTGGGAAGAAAATATATGATCTCTATTTTATTTTATTTTGTTGGAAAATATATAGTCTCATTCATATGTGATGATTATTGTGTATCTTAAATAATTTATGACTTAAAAGAAGATAGTTTTAAAACAATCGTGGTAAATTTGAATAGAATTCTTCTACCCATGAAGATAATTTTAAAGTAGACTGAAAGATTGATGACAAGCTTGTATTGGGTGATGGATATCTAACTAGAATACTCAAATACTGATTTTTTAGAGTGTTATTTCTCATACAGTTCTTTTGGGGATTATGGAGACTTATCTCATTCATACTGTGAGTGCTTTCTCTTATGCAGCTTCAACTTCTGTAGTTTTATGGACATGTTTTCTCTTGCTCACTTAATTTTGTTCACATGCTAGCTTTTAAGGTAATTTGTGTTTTGGGCAAGAGGTTGGAGAGGTAAAAGAATTAAGAAATAGCTGGGTAAAAAGTAAAAAAGCCATTATCTCACAGATTGATTTCCTAAAATGTCAGCAATGGCATGGTGTTATTTTATTTCTTAAAAAAGAAAAAATAAATTGCAACTAGAGATTATATGTATTTCTCAATAGGCTATTATTGACCAAAGAGATTTTATGAATCAGGCTTTGTAAAGAATTGATGATGACTATTAAGAGCAAAATTGTAGATTCTTATAGTAGAAAGCTGTTTTGCCAATTCAATCTAATTGTTTAAAATTTCATTGAGAAATATGCTGTATAGGCTGGGTGTAGTGACACACACCTGTATTCCCAGCACTTTAGGAGGATCTTTTGAGCCCAAGAGTTTGAGGTTGCAGGTGAGCCATGATTATGACACTGCATTGTACCCTAGATGATAGAGTGAGACCCCGTCTCCAAAAAGGAAAATAAAAAAATACACTCTATGATACATGTGCTTCTGGCTTAACAAGTAGGCATCTGGCGAAAGAATATATAGGAATGTTATAAATTATGTGCAAACTTAGATCTGATAAAATTAAGATCATTTTCTCATGTTCTTCATATACAGCCTTTATCTCTTAAAAATATAGTTTAAAATACTTTATTTGATTTGCATAAAGGGCTGCTAGGGTCTATGTATGTATTAAAATTCTGAAATCTTAATAAAACTTATTAAAGTAATAGTGTGAAGAGTTCTGTGGTTAACTTAGGCTATTTTACATATTGGATTAATTATGATGATAAATGTTTCATTAAGTCTTTAATTATTTGAACTGATACAAGCAGAAATCATATATCTCCCAAAACTGATTTCTTCCTAAATTGTTTGTTAAGATTTTCGTTTTTATATTTCAATGAATATCTTATTTGATTTTTTTCTTCCTGTTTCATATGCAGGTCATGGCAAAACTCCAAAAGATGCAGCGTCAGTTCGAGCCACTCATCCAATACCAGCAGCCTGTGGGATTTATTATTTTGAAGTAAAAATTGTCAGTAAGGGAAGAGATGGGTAAGTGTAAGTTTTGGTGGGAAAAATCATTTGCTATTCTTGTTCTGATTCATAATGTTTATGATGTAATTGAAAAGTTGGAGTCTTGGAAATTTTGGTAATTGGAAGAGTGGAATCTGAATATTACAGTATCACAGATTGGATCTGGTTATTCTTAAATACTAGCTGAGGTTAAAACTTCAAGTGATATTAACCAAGGTTTTTTGGTAAGTTTATTATTAAAATGGAGAATTAGAATTAAGCAATAAAGAGACACTGGCTCATTTTTCCATGCCTTTTCTTATGCTGCTTTTTTCTGAATTCTGCGAAATTAAATCCTCTCAAAGTTAGTAATCAAAGTTAGTAGTGATTCACAGATATTTTACCTATAGGTTGAGACTTGGAATTTTAGTTTTCACCTGGGAAATGTATACTTGTATGCTCTTGATTAGAGGAGATTCCCAGGGGTTAGGATATGGTTTAGAAGCTTCCAAATGAGAACTCCATGGAACCAACTTTTATTTCATTGCTTTTAAAATTGAGGTCAGTGTGTGGTGTGTGTGTACATCAGAATCACTTACTGGGTTATTAAAAATATAGTAATTTAGGCCTTATCCCAAAAGTTCCTAAATCAGAATTTTCAGAAGTAGAGCTTTGGGACAAAATGGGCATTTTGAGAGAGCTAAATTTCGATGCATATCCCTCGTTAAGAAATAATTATCTAAAATCATTTTATCTATCCTATAGTATTTCTTGATTACTTCATTGTGGTAACAGAGATCCCTTAAAGCAACTATAGGTTAATTTATTTAACTACCAGGATAAAGCTATTGGATTGTGTGGGCAAGTTGTCCTGTATTTGAAGTCAATCATTTAACCCCTCTTAGTGGTCCTTCTATATTTAATCAACAAAATAAGTGTACCCAATAGATTATTTCTCTTCCTTTATTTGCTGAATATTCTCAGTGCCAACAGTATGAAAAGCAGAAAATGAAAACTTGGAATTCAGTGACAACTTTTTTTTTTTTAACTGCCTCAGTTTTCCCAGGGTGATCAAGCCCCAGATAAAGTCAGAGATACCAAGGATAAATGGTTGAGAGATGCCCCCTATTGAAATAGGCACATGGTGGTAGCCATTTCGCACTTTACAACTGTAACTTTTCTTATACTTCAGATTATATTGTCTACTTCATAATGCTGGTGTTGCTCAGGATGGTTCCCAAGATTCTCTTTTCCTTTCACTCTACTATTCTCTCTTTGCGTGATCTTGACCTTATATTTTCATGACTGCAAATACCCTGAAGAGTCTCAAACCTAATGCTGCATCTCACGCTGTTCCCTTGAGCTCCAGGTCAACGTATCTAGCCAAATGTTTGCATTTGAATGCTCTGCAGGCATTTTAATTTAGCTTGTTTAAAGTATTTTTCTCAAAACCAGATGCTTGGTGATCTCACTGTTGCTAGGAACTTGAGAATTTCCTACCTTTAGCTTTCTCTGTTCATCTCTACTATTTCTCCCCTAGTCAGGTGTTGGTTATTTATCGCCTGAATTACTGAGATGGTTGATTGATCGATCTCCTAGTTACCCTACTTTGATCTTATTCCAGTGTATAACTGTTGTTGCTTCTAACACAGAACTGAGTTGTGTCTGTCATTTTCTTGAGATTATTTGGAGCATCTATTGCTTTGAGGATAAAATGTAGACTTCTTAGCAGGGTCCTTTTGTGGTGTCACTAGCTTCTGTGTAATTTTTCAATCTCTGTCTCTTTGTTGCTGAGATCCTGCGTCCATTTTCTTTTCCTTTTATTTTTAAGATTAGGTATATTTTACATATAATAAAGTTTTGACAAGCCATGTTACCACCGCCACAGTCGATACAATAGTCTCCCCTTATCTGTGGGGCATGTGTTCTGAGCCTCCTGAGTAGATGCCTAAAACTGCAGATAGTACTGAACCCACAATTAAGTTTGTGGATTCATCCTAGAGAAAGTGCTACACACCTCATGGGTGAATATCACTACAGTCACCTTCAAAATACTCCCCTTGCCGGTGCAGTGGCTCATGCCTATAATCCCAGCACTCTGGGAGGCTGAGGTGAGAGGATTGCCCGAGCCCACGGGTTCGAGATCAACCTGAGCACCTGGTGAGCCCTCGTTGCTACAATAAATAAAAAAATTAGCTGGGTGTGGTGGTACGTGCCTGTGGTTCCAGCTACTTGGAAGACTGAGGTGGAAGGATCACCTGAGCCCAGCAGGTCGATGCTGCAGGGGCCATGAAAGTGCCACTGCACTCTCGAGCCTGGGCGACAGAGAGAGACTCCTACTCAAAAAAAAAAAAAAAAAAAAAAAAAAGCATTCCCCTTGGGAACCTGTGCACCAACACCAGTGCCTAGTCCACCTAGTCAAAGCAATTTTGGGACTCTTCTTCTGGAATAACCATCAGAGTTGTCATCATATTACCCTTGATGTGCTGAATATCATCAAAATGTTTTCCTTTCAACATTTTCTTTAACTTTGGGTAAAGAAGAAAGTCATTGGGGGCCAGATCAGGAGAGTAGGGAGGAGGGTGTTTCAATACAGTTAATTATTTATTTACTGGCTGAAAACTCCTTCATAGACAGTGCTGTACTGTGTGAGCTGGTGTATTGTTGTGATGCAAGAGCTCCTTTGGAACCAGTTTTGCACACATTTTCTCATACCAAGAATTTCTGCTAAAATTTTCCTGATTCTCTATCAATGTTTATTTGTTCTGCTATGCTTCTCACAGTCAGCTGATGATTTTGATGCTCCATTCAACGAATTTTTACAATGTTTTCATCAGTTCTGCTGGTTACTGGCTGTCCTGACCTCTCCTCATCAGTGATGCTGTCTTTCCTCTTAGAAACATGTTTAACTCATTTGTACACAGCCGTTTTCTTCATGGCATTATCCCCTTGAACTTGGATTAACATGTCCCTAATTTCATTTCCACTCCTGTAAAATTTAACAAGAAGTTTAATGTTTGTTCGTTGCTCTAAGTCAAGCTCCAATATTCTCACAGTGATACACAAATACATCACCAATAATGAACACCACTCAGCAAGACACTGCCTCATGTCAAGATGAACACGGCTGTGAGACACTGATATACCAAAGCTATGAAACCTTACCACGTTGTTTGTACAATGCTGCCAATGTAAGCGCTCTGCAGCAATTTCACGAACTTAATTGCCGTACCAAATCTGCTATGCTTTCTAGACCCAGAGGGCTACTATGTGACTGATGGGCATGTGGCATATACAGCATGGACACACTGGTCAGAGGGGTGGTTCGCTGGGTAGTGATGGAGTAGGACTGAGCTGAGTGGTGTAAGATTTCCTCACACCACTCAGAATTGCACATAATTTAAAACTTAAAAATTGTTTAATTCTGGAATTTTCCATTTAATGTTTTTGGACCGTGGTTGACTATGGGTAACTGGTACCCAGGAAAGCAAAGCCTGCAAATAAGAAGGGGATTACTGTACATGGAACGGCAGGTCCCTCAGAATTCCTCCATACCACTTTGTAGACCACCACCCTTCCCTGTCTCCACACCTTGGCAACCCCTGGTTGGTTTTCTGTCTCTACACTTTTGCCATTTCTAGAATGGTGTATAAATGGAATCATAAAGCACGTGGCCTTCTAAGTCTAACATCTCTCATTTAGCATAATGCATTTGAGAGTCCTTCCTGTTGTTGTTGCTTATGTCAGTAGAACAGTCCTTTTTCTTGGTGATTGTGTGGATGAGCAAACCATAGTTTGCTTATCCACTCCCTAGTTGAAGGACTTCTCGGATGTTTCCAGTTTATGGCAATTATAAATATAACCACTGTAGACATTTGTGTACAGGTTTTTGTGTAAACATAAGTTTTCATTTCATTTGAGTAAATATCTAGGAGTGGGATTGCTGGATTGCAGTTGAGTATTTTTAACTTTATAAGAAACTGCCAAATTGTTTTGCAAAGTGGCTGTACCAATTTGCATTTTCACCAGCAATGTATGTGAGTTGCTGTTGCTGTTAGCACTTAGTATTGTCAACTTTTGGGGTTTTTTTTTTTTTTTTTTTTTTGAGTTGG